AACCTTCTGGAACAGTATCTTCTGTTGAGTTTTTACTTTATAGTTTCTTTTTTTTTTTAAGCTAACCTTCTGGAACAGTATCTTCTGTTGAGTTTTTACTTTATAGTTTCTTTTTTTTTTAAGCTAACCTTCTGGAACAGTATCTACTGTTGAGTTTTTACTTTATAGTTTCTTTTTTTTTTAAGCTAACCTTCTGGAACAGTATCTACTGTTGAGTTTTTACTTTATAGTTTCTTTTTTTTTTAAGCTAACCTTCTGGAACAGTATCTACTGTTGAGATTTCTGTTGTCAGAAATCATAGCTAAATTTAATGCCAGCTAAGAATTGTGGGAAATTGGTCTGATAATATCTAGTGGGCAAGTGGAAGGAGTTTTATGACATTTACAGATTGCTGTAAATTCCACTACTAAGAAGTTCATTAATTTTACTCATGCCTGTTTCTCTTTATGTCTCTCTCTATTAACACATAATCAGTTATATTTACAAAATGATAATTTAAGTCAGCAGTATGACAAGAATCAGATCTGCCTACTGAAATACAGAAACTGCACTTTCCACTTAAGAAAAAACAAGAAATGTGCATTTGATATACTGATAAATGTTACATTCTAGGAAAAAAGAAAATGAATCCAAGATAAGCTTTTCTAAAAAAACAAACAAACACCCAATTACTTGACTTTGAAACTCAGTAAATCTTGAGTTTCATACAGAATCAACCCTCAAAATTTCATTGATATATACAATAGAAACAATACTGGAATAGTAATATGATTTTATTTTATTTTTTGCTGCCTTGGAATTATCATAAACTGGTTCAAGATTTCCAGGAAAGAAATGGCAAGCTGAACATGGCTCCATTAAGACCATGATGGAATAAAGATGACTCCTCTCTAGACAAGGAGATTTTGATTTTGGAAAGTTATAAATGGATAAATGGTCCAGATGGATTTGAAGTAACATTTTGAAATCAATTATAAAACTTTTGCCTGGGAAATGCTATTGTTTTACATTCTTAAACAGAAAAAAATGATTGCTTGGAACTTTGAAGCATGAACACTAGAGGGATCAGAATGAATAAAAATTTACAATTAAATTTGACTTATTAATACCGAATGGAGCAAAATACTTTTGCATTGATGTATTGAAGTACATTTGTGACCAATAGACCCAGAATACAGCAGTTCACTTCACTATTTCTTAATAGTCAAGCTAATTAAATATAAAAGTAATGGATACCATTGTCAAGAATGATGACAAAATACTTACCAAGTTGTTTGAAATTTTCCTGGATACTTCCCCATGTATTCTTTTCAATTATATTCTTGACAAGCCCCCATGGTTGTTTTTTGTATTTCACATCTGAGGAAATCCTGTAACAAACAAGAATAGAGCTAGCAACTGATTAGAATACAACTATAGGTAAGGTCAGTATTTTCATCCATTTTGAGAACAATTTTTTAGGCTTTCAGCTTCAGGTAAGAAGCTGTATACACAAAACAAAGCATGATCACTAAGGTAACATCTTGTCTTGAACACAAACACTGAGAGCTGAATGAGGAAATAGAGAAAATAGTTGCTTCAGAACTCTCTGTTGAACTATAACTTTGAATGATAGATGTACCCATAGATTTGTAAGGTATGTAAATCATATAGCCAATATTAGTTTGTTGAAAAAAAATCTACTAAAACTTTCATAGGGGAAAAAAGTGAAACTAAAAAAAGAGCAAATATTTTTTCTATTAAGAGATCATTTTCCAATCATCTAAGTGTACAAATTAAAGTTGGGCATTCCTACGCTTCCTTGTTTTACCGAAAAGCTGTCTTTTATGATTTCCAATTTTATTACTGTCATTAAATGAAATGTCTCACCGGAGTCTGCATTTTTGACCGGACATATGAGAGATACTAAAACTGTTCACAATGTAGAAGTAATCATGGTAAGGCACATCATGTGTCACCACCTCTGCGTCTACTTGGTAAGACCGATCTTTGTGGCTTCGTTTACGGAGCACCTATTATGGAAGCAGAAAAGGACTTTTTTAAAAAAAATGCTGATGTTCAAAAACTAACTGGGATAAATTTTGCACCACAATTAATGTAGAAGTCTTGAAAGAAAGTATACTTTTAAAATGATCGCACAATATCCTAACACAGCTTTTCTCAACCTATTGCCTCAAGTGGAAATTGGACTTCGTTCTCTACAATTCCAAGCCAAAATACTGATCAGGAATTAAGGGAATTGTTGCTCAAGGCCAGCTGTAGAGCATTAGTTTGGGGGAAAGCAAGTCTAGAGTAAGATTAATGATGCCCAACTTCTTCTATTTTTTCCTGATATTCTGTCAATGGAAACTAAAGATAGATAGCACATCTTTGCAATCCTTTCTTTTAAAGCTTCAGCTGCTGCAAAATAGCAATAGCAATAGCAGTTAGACTTATATACCGCTTCATACGGCTTTCAGCCCTCTCTAAGCGGTTTACAGAGTCAGCATATTGCNGGAAAAATTCAAATCTTCCATGCATTATCTAGTGAATTCATGTTAGTGACAACAGTTGTACTAGAGATTCCTAATTTACTTTTTCCTGTGCTACAGCAGGACAGTGAGTTATGATATTTTTTCAGGCTCTCTGTCATGACTTTCTGGCCTTCCCCATTACTAAGAACTTTCTCATTTGAAAAAATAAATAAATGCCCAAGCACTCCCAGTATGCAAGTTTTCTTTTTTAATAAAAGCAAAGCTTAAATGAAAGGAAATTCCTCTTAGTACTGCTTCCCTAGAGTTGGGTCTTTTGAATGTGGCTGAATCAGAATTTATTTATGTATTTATAAAATATTTTTTCACTATCTCAATTTCTCTTAACTAAGATCAATTTACAAAACAGTACAACAAACCAAAATTAATACAATAAAATACACAAGTCAATCCCAAAAGGTTACTGGAAAAGAATGATTTTCAGACCTTTGAAATGTGAGCAAAATGGATGAGACCTGTATCCTGACAAAAAAAAGATTTAGATAATGGGTTTAGAATTTTCCATAGCTTTTTTCAATACCGTTTTCAAATTCTTTCCCCAAAATGGAAGGTCAGAAATTGTGGTTGCTGTTTAATACTGCTGTATTGAGTGATAGTTTCTTTAGGAGAGGACACATCTCTGCTCCTTCAAGGTAGATGGTACCTCCCCTCTCTCAAAAAGGTTTAGGCCACCTCTCAAATCCAGAAATATACATACTGTTTGGCATTAATTTCCAAATGAATGCAAGTCCTTTCATCCATGAAGAAACTCACATAAACATCATAGTGGCCATTCTTCCTCTTCTCTACCAATAAAGGGTAAAGGTAACATTAGGGTCACTAGACTCAAATCTATAGCTGCAGTAATAATGGATATTGGTAAGAATACTTTGCCAGTATTATTGCCAAAAATATTAATAATGTTGAGTATATAACCATGTTGATTGCAATCACAATTCATTTCTTCCCAGCATTGACCTAAGCTTTATTTTCTTGAAGTCTTTATATAATTAAGGAATCCCTTTGGTTTCTGCAATTCAGGGGAGATGGCTTGGGGCAATTATTCACCTCAAAGTTGCAAAGTACAACATGGTGGGCATCTGGAGAAAAAAATCTAGACATCCCCAAGACAATCTGAACAGATTAGGTGCCTTCAGTGAAATATTTTAACTAGCCCACCACCAATCAAGCAAAGTGGCAACATAGATATGCACCAGAGAAATGTTAACCGTTTTCTGCCATAGATGGATCAATGTCCTCAATTTTTATGATAAATCATCAACCAAAAATAAAAATTAACAAAAGTCAGCAATATCAATAAGAGAGTACAGTAGTACGGTATTACAGGAGACCTAATGCTGTGACTGCACAGCAACCCTCTGACAAATAAAATACCATCCAGAGTCCATTTCTGTTAAATCTCAGTGGAAAAAGTTATGCATTATATATCCTGCTTGAAGATCTTAATGAGATAATACATCTAAAACCACCTGGAACTGCTTTGGTAGCATTCCCACTTCAATACAGATCTTTTTACAGAACAATTTTAAAGTGTTTTTGCTAAATTGTACATTTTTCACTAGCTTCAGTTTTCAGGTGAACTGCAATATGTAAATCTAACATTTGCACTAATATTAGGCCACTGAGAGCATGGAGAAAGACAAATGACAGAACAAAACAAAAAAATACTCACGTTGTTGACCCTTCATCCTGAAGTTGAACATGGTACAATGACTGAGCTGCACGCTCAATCTTTGACAATTTCAAGAACAGTACGACATTCAGAAAAACCAGTAGAATTAAACTGGGGAAAAAATCCAGACAAATGAACAGTTCACTATCATCTTGCAAAAGCATTCTTAATGGGAAGAATAAATACTATAAATATTTATAGCTTCATGACAAATGTAGCAAGATAATTAAAGCTTTGAAGTGTAAGGTATGTATAGTACTGTAAAAATGATACAAACTGTGTTCTCACAACACATTAGTCATCTCACATTCAAACTTAATGTGGCATTTGAGTCCAACTGTAAACTAGATTGTGGGCCTAGAACAGGGGTATCAAACTGATGGCGCGCAGGCCGAATGTGTCGCGTGCGGGGCCATACCCACCCCAGCTCTGCAAATGGGAAAAACGTCACGTGACAGCAATGTGATGTGGCAAGTGTGATACCCTTGCTTTAGAATGTGGATAAAGAAAACATAATAGACAGCAAACCACACTTCTAACTAGCACCGATGATGTTACCTAGTTTGGTAATGAAATCTCTCCAAGAAAACAACCAAGCCCAAACGAGCCCACATTTCACCCCCGAGCCACAAATATTCTCCTTTATGCAATCTGTTTGCAGATCATACAGAAGAGAATCAAATTCAGTCAATTAAATATGTCTCCTTTCACCTTCCTGGACCAATCCACCTGATATACATTCTCAGGATAATATAGGACTACCACAATTATAACTGATTTTGATCACTTTGGAGAAAAGACTGAATGCAAATCTCTATGTGGTATGTGCTATTTGATATTGACAATGAAAATAAAAGATTGTGTGTGTGAAACTGAAAAGGGCTAATTTCAAAACATTCTGCATTTTCCTTTGTACAGCTTTTAGGTGTGCTCTATTTCAGTGTTATGTTTTTG